CGCCACTGTATGTTGGACGGATTAAGGCGATGATGAGATTTGTGGTAGAATTGAGAATGCCGACTGGTGAGGCCTACCTTCATGTCGAGAGAAACTTATTACATCTTTTATGTATCTGAATGGCAAGGCATGCTTCCTGCTAGGCAGTGGTGAGTTGCCAATTAAAGGGGATTATTGCTTGTTAAATGCTTTAGTAATGTCACAAGTCACCTCATTAATATTCAGCTTATCTCACCAAATGCTCCAAACAAACTAGATGTTGAGAATTCCCAACATGGAAATCAGAGTGGATTCCTTGCGACTTCAGCTTGTTGCCAGTTCTAAAAAACCTCCATGCTGAACATCTGGCACTAATGTTGCAGGCCATGCTGCATAGGCACCAGTCACCCACACTCCATATCCATGCTAAGAACCATCATGGCACATCTCTAATCCACTTCAGTGCTGCACCAGAATCTATCACTGTATTGAGGCTGTAAAGGATTTGTGTACTCGGGTTACGTACGAAGCTCATGAAGTGGACCAGAGTTGCTGTATCAGCGCTCACTCACATTGAGCCTACGTGGATGCTTTCAGCATCCCTGTCTTGCTTTTTTGAGCTAAAGCTCCTCAGGCAGATACCAGGCTCACAGCACTGCGGTATTGCCTTGGTAGTTAGTGCAGACACAAAGCGAAGAAGCTTACTATGGTTCTCAACCGTGCCCGGTCAAGTCAAGCCAAGCCTCAGGAGGTTCCAGCGCAGTAAGTCGAGGCAATCTCCAAAACCAGTCCGGAGGTCTGGAAATGGTCAGTCAGTCACACAAGGTGGTCAGAATTTAGATGCTGTCCACATCAGTGGTGAAGAGCCAAATGTCAAGCAGCCGTACCAACTTCTTTCTGCCTAATACTGGGCTGTTTTTTCTCCTGGAATGAGACAAAGGCAATTACGAAGATGTTCTAAATGAGTGAGAGGTGGCACAGAAAGTATGCAGGGTTAGTGGTTTTGGGGGTTGAGCACAGTGAGGGTGAGTGAGGAAAAATGCTGCAGGCAATAGTGAGAGTGGTAGACCGTGAGCCTTGGTCGGAGGTGGGTACAGTAGCAGAGATTCTGTGTGTGTGTGTGCGCGAGAGACATTAGTTCATGCAAGGCGAGGTTCCATTGGACCTGTGCAGGGTGGGGCAGATCATTAAATCACATAGCATGTAGCATTGATTTAATGCTATGCTGCCCAATGCTCTTACTAATGTCATCTCTTACAAATGACTGACCAGCATTCAGCCGCAGGAAGGACACACTGCTTACCTCCACCATGGAGTCACCGATGAAGGTACAGAATAAGTGGCAAGGATCAAAGATGATGGCTCTAATCTTGTTGATGTTTGGATGGAGAAAATTGAGGATTGTGTCACAAAACGATTTGACAGGACAGTGGCAGTGGGGATGTTGAGAGAGATCAGAATGTATGTGTAACATTAACCAACATTCAACAGATAATGCTACATCTGCAGCTGAAAAGAAAGGACAGTATGTAGATGAAGGAGAGGGGGTCCAAGCATGAATTCCACAATTAAGATGTGAGGTGGGAAACGAATAATTGATAACGTTTGGATAACGTAAGGACGTAGGAATTAGGTGCAGGCCTAGGCTATCCCTTGGCCCTTGAACTTGCTTGGCTATTCAGTAAGATCATGGCTGATCAGATTACACCCCATTCCTGCCTTGCTTATCAAAAATCTATCTACCTCTGCCTTAAAAATATTCAAAGATTCTGCTTCCAGAAAGACCAAAAGTGGTTCAGGGGTTAGGGTGCCAGGTGGGCAGAATGAGAGGTAAGTGATAGAGTGCTTAGGGTAGGTGAGGGTGACGGCTGGTCATGTTGGATCCGGTGGCATGGCAGAGACATGTTGCTCAAGGAGTTGTCAGGGGTGGTGGGAGGGAATGCTGGATCTGGCAGTGAGGATGGTGGGGTGTTGGGTCGAGTGGAGTTGGCGAGGATGGTGGGCAAGTGTGGGACTTATGGGGGTGGAGTGTAGGTTTGGGTCCAGTGGGTGTGGAGGCTGACAGGTCTAGGGGTGGGGAGTGGGTCTGTTTGGTCCAGTGGCATGGGTGCTGTTGAATCTGGGGGTCAGGGTGATATCAAGGTGTTGGGTCCAATGGAGGCAGGGTGGGTAAGTTGGATTAGGGTGGGTGTTGTCAGGTTGGTGTGTGTCAGAGTGGTATTGGGTCCCTGAGTGGGGCATGGATTGCTCAGGCTGGTAGGGTGTCATTGATGTTGGGTCTGGGAAGGGGCTTTCGGGCCAGTGGCAGGGTATCTGGTCCCAGGTGAGGAGAAGGATAATGTTGGGTGAGTAGGGTTTCTGGTAGAGCCAAGGAATGGTTGTCAAGAGTCCATGCAGGGTAAATGTATTGGGTTGTGGTTGGGGAGGACGAGTAAATAGTAAGTCAGAGACTCAGTTTAATAGCTACCCAAGTATTAATGTAAGCTTTTAGTCCTCTAACTTTCCTGTATAACTATTAGCTTAACAGAGTTGAGCCACTCCAAATTATGTAATGAACTCTTCCAGTGATTTCCAGGTGTAGGAGAATTACTCATCATAGAATCACAGAATCCCTACAGTGTGGAAACAGGCCATTTGGCCCAACAAGTCCACACTGCCCCTCCGAAAAGCATCCCACCCAGACCCATTCCCCTACCCCTGATTTCCCCATGTCTAACCCACCTAACCTAAATATCCCTGGGCACTATGGGCAATTTAGCATGGCCAATCCACCTACCCTGCACATCTTTGGATTGTGGGAGGATTTCCCAGGCAATTCCCACCAGCTCTGCTGCATCTGGAATTCCAAATGGTGCTGATGTGCAACTCCAGTATCTGTTTCTCTGGTCATGGGAATATCTGGGCCATTGTTAATTAATTTTTTTCATATCACACCAATGATTCATATAGTGTATGAATTCAGGGCTGGTGGGACGTAGGTATTAAGCCACACCTCTCAAAGACTGGAGGATCTGGTTATAGTAAACAGGGTACTGACCAGACTCAAACAGCCACACTTGCAAAACTCACAACATAGTGTCCAGCATTAGATGTGATTCTGCAAATGGACATTTTCTGGACAATCCTGAGTGTGCGAAGAATTACACTGACAAAGAATTTTGCATCATCAGTCAGGCTCGCAGTGTGGCACACTTGTTCAGACAAGACAAACATTTGCGTGCATCATGCCTGTTTCAACTCAACAAAACAGGAGATATATCCAATCGCATGTGGTCATTTCTCAGGGCATTGCCTGACCACAGAGTCAACCTGCCTGGTTTGAAATCTAAAAGACATAAAGGAAACTAACAGTCAGTCAATTATTAACTTCTGCATTCTCCATACTAGTACTTCTACCAATCAAATTTCACTTGCCAACCACTGTTATTCCTGTAAATTGTCCTGATGAGTTCAAGACAAAAGCTTCAATAAAATGTGACTTTTTTCATCAATACTCAAGTTTTCTGTATTACCAAACATTTGTTTTTTTTAATTCATTCATGGGCTAGGCCAGCATTTATTGTCTATTCCTAATTATCCAGAATCAACCAGACATTGCTGTGTGTCTGAAGTCACATGTAGGCCAGTCTGGTTGAGGATGGCACATTTTCTTCCCTGAAGTATGTTCATAAGAGATGCTCTATGACTGTTAACAAGAGTGGAATGAAAACCAATAAAAGAGATTTCAGCAAAGGTAGACATTTAGGATGCACCACGTATTCAATGACTTTTTGGAGGAAAGGATGATTGGAGATGGAGCAGACTGTGGACATTTTTCAGAGAAAAATAGTAACTGATTTTAAATAGAAGGAAAGTAAAACCTGTGGAAACAGAAACATTTGCAATATCAACTGGCATGAATATTAGGAAAATATGTGTTTTCAAATCATGATACCTATTGTTTTGAAGTAATTGTCTACCTCATGAAGCATAATATGTGATCACAGATTTTGTTATTTGGCTTCACTCTTATTTACATTGCTCCATAAATCGGCAATCATACATTTGATTGTCTTGAAGAACATTTAGTGTTGTAAAATTTGACGAGTAATGATTTGTGTGATAAAAAGAAATCAAATGCATAATTTTGTCATGAACAAGAAGTGAACTTGAAAATCCATTGTATAGGCATTCCTAATTTTTAAAAAAAAACTGATGATACCCTAACCTAACTTACAATGACACTCTAATGTGAACATAGTCAAGAAATTAGTCAACTTTCTGACCCCCAGGACAGCAGGTAACCAGGATCCATTGATTGGCTATACAAGAATCTTTAATGGTTGTGGTTGAAGAAAGTCCCCAATGGATCTTCTCACCCAGATCTTCATTGGTAAGGTGCTGAGGGAATGGGGCAAGCATTTCACCATGATCAACTCACCAAATCATTTCCTTTTTTTTAAACCATCAATTTGGAAGGAAAATTGCAGACAAAGAAACATAATATAAATAGCAGGTCTTGGCATGGGTTTATTTTTAAATGCTCAAAAAATTACAATTCAAACACCAGAAAAATCGCTTTATTCCCTGAAAGTCTGCGCACAATAATGGGTTAAGTTCTGATCAAGCACAACTGGGGATATTTGCAGTTAGGAATTGAAGGAGGCTTTGAAATACTTCCAGACAGTGCTTGAAAAACAGATGTGCAAGGTCAGGGACTCCACCCGGGCAAGTTGCTTTCTTGAACTTGATGATGATATAATGATAACTTTAGTGTCATATAATTAAATATTGAGATCTGCAGAATCTCTACCAGAGTTTAGGCAGATGTGTTTCTACTACACAGTAAAGAAAGAATCTTAAGGAAAACACTTTGAACTCAACAGGCAGAATGTGAAAAACAAAAGCTTATTAAACACCACACATACAATACAGTAGGTGTATTGCAGACATAAATTTAATTGTCAACCAGCCTTTCATCATCCTGATCAGTGAGTCACTGGAATGTCAGCTGAGCAGTTTATTTTTTATTGCTATGATACAGCAGATTATAATGCAGCATGACTTCAGGAAATCAGTCAGTACACAGCAAAGGAAAGGTGGAATCACAAATGAGCTGGGGGAAAATATAAAATGGTAAGTGTTTCCTTTTGATCATAATTCCATATTTCAGACTACAGTATCTGTTTTAATGTTTTTTAAAAAGATATGTTTTCCCAGAAATGCTTTCTAGTGTTATAAGTAATGTTTCATTAGTAATATGGTTTTTAAATGGTATGTTAGTGTGTCTATGATGTTTGTTGAATGGTGTGTGTGTTGGCTCTTGTGTAATGTGGTATGATGTTTTGCTGTGTGTGTTGATGTGTTCACAATAAGTGTTTAAGATTCCATGTATGGAACGTGTTTAGTATATATATGTTGTACGCATGCAGTTGTGTTTCTATAATGTGTTGGTGATATGTGTTACATGTCATGTTTTTTTGTATTTAGTTTGGTATGTGTACATGATAGGTTTGTAGTTATGTGCTGTGTGAGGTTTGTGTGTTTTTGCGTGTTGGTATATCTTTGTTGTAAACTCTTCCATGAAAGTAGCACGAGTGCTGTTTAGATCGCCCTTAAAACAAATTAGACAACTCCAACCAGAATGTTATGAATGCATTTGCCACAATACCGAAGCGATCAAATTAGTACGAATCCAAACCGATACGAATGCAAAATTGTTCCGACTTCATTAGAAACTAAATTGGGATAGTATTGTTTTGTAGTAAAAACTATCTCTAATCCTAATCCTATTCAGCCCCTTAAATTTACAATACTTCTGGAGTCTCTTGTAGATTTGCGCAGCCATTCCGTGTCTCTTGGACTGTGAAGCTGCTTTCTCTCTTCCGCCACACCCCTATCTCTCTCTATCCCTCTCTCTCTCTCTCTCTCCCCTTGCTGTTTGGCCAAGTTAGCGATCTATCAGTGTTTTAGCAGCCTGGAGGCTGCTACATGAGACAACTCATTTCTATGGCTTTAGAGTCCATGTGGTTGGTTTTGTAATGAAGAACATGGATTGGGGGGACAGGGCAATGGTGGTAGGAGGGCAGTTATCAAAGCGGAGGACAGAGTTTGTCATCTTATGTTGAACTCAATGTTAAGTCCAGAAGACTGTAATCTGTCTGAGCGGAAAAAGGGGCGTTACTCCTCCAGCCATCCCCCATTCTAGACAGGCAAAAGAATCAGAAGTAAATGGAAATGTGGAATTTGAAACGTATAGAGCAGGCTTGATGGGTCAAACTGCCTATTTCTGGTCCCAGTTCATTGGTTTGCATGTTCTCATTGTGAGAAGAGGTGGGGGATACAAACCTATGTGACCCAAACCCAATTTATTATTTTATTCTCTCCAACATTCTCACAGACAACTGTAGTAATTGACAAAATGAATGGTTAATTTTCTTCATCCTCTTAATTTAAAAGCATGTTATCTCAAGATAAGTAAGTTCAAGTTACAATTTGGCATGAATGAAAGAGGCAAAAATCAAAAGTTTGCCAATTTGCTAACCTTATAACCAAGATAATATTTATTCTTATTGCAGTTACTATCGGTGTTACTAGGATGAGATCATGCATAGATAAACATAATCAGGCATATCATGCAGGCAGCCATTTAATTAACAACTCATAAACCTCAAGTCAGGAGGATAGACTGATGATTTGATAAATGTCAAATCCTAGGAAAGGTTTAACTCAACTTTGTAACAAAACATATTAAGTGTAATTCTAAATTCAAATGTAGATTTCTGATCCAATGCTATAAATTTTAACATAAAGTTGAGTTCCATATTGGGAATGAGAGGGTGTTGTTATCAGGTTAGGTATCCGAAAAGACCAGGTTTGCAGAATGTCCTGCAGATGTTCATTTTATAGGTTCCTTTAACTGGGGACCCCATCAGAAGGCAAACTGATTGACATGCTGTAGGCCTTTAGGAGGTGAACGTTTTCCAAGGATCTCCCATTCTCTTTAGTTTGTCAACTATAATTCCTGTTTGAAAGTGAGCAGTTTGTTTATTAAGTAGCTGTAATGGAGAGCTTGCCTGTACTGTCCTAATATCCAACCTTCACAACACCCACAATAACTGCAGCATCAACAAGTACTACCATAAGTGCAAAATTAGTGAATCGACAAAGTTTTAATTCTTGTTTCAGTTATATCACTTTCAACTATAAATTTTTGACATGAAATTCAATTGAATTATATCCATTATAAAGGGGAGCCCAGGAGCAAGGCGGCCCTCTCCCTTTTAGTCTCTATAATGATGGTGAACTTACGTACAATGGCAAAATTAATTCTTCTCACTCACACCAAACAAAAACACATTCTTTACATGAGGTGACTGGCTGTCACATGAGAAAGCTTTTACGTTTTGCATTAGGACTGGATGCCTTGCTCCTCAGTGACCTACATCTTAATTTATTATTTTTGTTGCTCCTGTGAAATATTAAAGTTATATGTGCAAAGTGAGAAAACAATCCCTTATGGCTCAGTGTGATATTGTACCTACATTTGAGCTCATCCATAGAGTTCATCCTTTAATATGATAAGCCTGATAAACCTCTGATTTTGTAAATAACTGAACAGTGAGCAAAAATCTATTTACAGTGATGGCACGAGACGAGAAAGTGACCATTCAAAATATTTGTATTTTATTATCACTAACCAGTTCCACATTTATTCACTTTCTAGAGCTCTGACCTGAAGGAAAGAATGAACTATTTGCTTTATATGCAAATTATGTCTGCACAGGTCTTACTTTCAGGTAAGTCTCATCTGACACTTCATAGTAGGCAGCACGGTGGCTCAGGAGTTAGCATTGGTGCCTCAGCAGCAGAGATCGAGGTTCAATTCTAGCCTTGAGTAACTGCCTGTGTGAAGTTTGCGCATTCTCTCCACGTCTATAGTTTCATCTGGGTGCTCCAGTTTCCTCCCATAGTTCAGGGAGGTATAGGTTGGGTGGATTGGCCATGGGAAAATGCAGGGTTACAGGGATAGGACAGGGTGGGATGCTCTTCAGAGGGTTGGTGTGGACTCAATAGACCAAATAGCCTGCTTCCATACTGTACTGATTCTATGACCGTATTTTGTGCCTGTAACTTCTGTGAACGTTTGCTTGTACTTTTTTAAAAGAAAATGTTTGGAAGGGCAAAAGAGAACATATCAAATCTGTTAGAAGAACTATCAATATGAAGCTGTATCTTCAAAAGTAAAGCTAGAAACCACTGCATTTGAAGTTCAAGATATTGAACTTTGGATAACAATGGAAATGTTCAGAAGTGATCAAAAGCTACAGTTATTGTAAAAATGTTGATGAATTCGCACTGATATCACTAACTTCAATATCCTTCAATTGATCACTATAGCATATATTGGCTTTCCAGAGAAAAAAAGATGTGAAAACTGTGCAATCTTTCCATTCCTGAATGTTGTATTAAAGTGTTGCTTTTTCAACAATTTAGTTACAGATTAGTTTCGTTAATAGCACATTAGCTATCTTGGGTTTGCAGTGTTTCATGTATTTTCTCCTCTGACTGCATATCATTTTTTATTGGACTCAATCCTGACATATTTTACTTTGGCCATCAATTAACCAACATCAGAAAAAAAGAATACCAATCATTAAGTTGCTGCTTTTGGAACATTTATGCACTCAGATGGCTGCTGCCTTTCCTACATGGTAACAATCACTTCACTTCGGGACATCCAGTTATAATGCAAGATATTTTATAAATGTACCAGAATGAGCAACTCTAAAATTTCAATCTACTAATTGATTGATTTATTTATTGTCAGGTGTACCAAAATACAGTGAAAAACTTTGTTTAAGAGCAGTACATGTAGATTATAGTAAGCAATGGATGTACAGATCAAAAAGACTTAGACAGAGGTATACAGGTTACATTGCACAGGGCGTGTGCAAGGCGAGATCAATGTTAGCAAGATCAGCATTATTTGAGGCTAGAGTCCATTCAGTCTGATAACAGCTGGGAAGAAGCTATTCCTGAACCTCTTGGTGTGTGTGTTCAGGCTTCTGTATCTTCTGCCTGACAGAAGAGGTTGTAGGAGATCATTACTGGGGTGTGATGGGTCTTTGATAATGTTGGCAGCCTTTCTGCGAGCTGTGTAAATGGAGTCCATGGACAGAAGAGATAACAAGGTGTAGAGCTGGATGAACACAGCAGGCCAAGCAACATCAGAGGAGCAGGAAGGCTGACGTTTCGGGCCTAGACGCTTCTTCAGAAATGGGGGAGGGGAAGGGGGTTCTGAAATAAATAGGGAGAGAGGGGGAGGCGGATAGAAGATGGATAGAGGAGAAGATAGGTGGAGAGGAAACAGACAGGTCAAAGAGGCGGGGATGGAGCCAGTAAAGGGGAGTGTAGGTGGGGAGTTAGGGAGGAGATAGGGCAGTCCAGGGAAGACGGACAGGTCAGGAGACGGGATGAGGTTAGTAGGTAGGAGTTGGGGGTGGGGCTTGAGGTGGGAGGAAGGACAGGTTAGGGAGGCGGGGACGAGCTGGGCTGGTTGTGGGATGTAGTAGTGGGAGGGGAGATTTTGAAGCTTGTGAAGTCCACATTGATACCATTGGGCTGCAGGGTTCCCAAGCAGAATATGAGTTGCTGTTCCTGCAACCTTCGGGTAGCATCGTTGTGGCACTGCAGGAGGCCCAGGATGGACATGTCGTCTGAGGAATGGGAGGGGGAGCTGAAATGGTTTGCGACTGGGAGGTGCAGTTGTTTAGTGCAAACCGAATGTAGGTGTTCTGCAAAGTGGTTTCCAAGCCTCCGCTTGGTTTCCCCGATGTAGAAGAGGCCACAACGGGAACAGCGGATGCAGTATACCACATTAGCAGATGTGCAGGTGAACATCTGCTTGATGTGGAAAGTCTTCTTGGGGCCTGGGATGGGGGTGAAGGGGGAGGTGTAGGGGCGGGTGTAGCACTTCCTGCGGTTGCAGGGAAAAGTGCCAAGTGTGGTGGGGCTGGAGGGGAGTGTGGAGCGGACAAGGGATTCACGGAGAGAGTGGTCCCTCCGGAAAGCAGATAAGGGTGGGGAGGGAAAGATGTCTTTGGTGGTGGGGTCGGATTGCAGATGGTGGAAGTGTCGGAGGATGATGCGTTGGATCCGGAGGTTGGTGGGGTGGTACGTGAGGACGAGGGAGATTCTGTTTTCTGTTATTGCGGGGAGGGGGTGTGAGGGATGAGTTGCGGGAAATGCGGGAGACATGGTTGAGGGCGTTCTGGACCACTGCAGGGGGGGGTCTGTTGCGGTCCTTGAAAAACGAGGACATCTGAGATGTACGGGAGTGGAATGCCTCATCCTGGGAGCAGATGCAGTGGAGGCGAAGGAATTGGGAATAGGCGATGGCATTTTTGCAGGAAGGTGGGTGGGAGGAGGTGTATTCTAGGTAGCTGTGGGAGTCGGTGAGCTTGAAACGGATATCGGTTTCTAGGTGGTTGCCAGAGATGGAGACAGAGAGGTCCAGGAAGGAGAGGGAGGTATTAGAGATGGTCCAGGTGAACTTAAGGTTGGGGTGGAAGGTGTTGGTGAAGTGGATGAACTGTTCGAGCTCCTTGTGGGAGCACGAGGCGGTGCCGATACAGTCATCAATGTAACGGAGGAAGAGGTGGGGTTTAGGGCCAGTGTAGGTATGGAAGAGGGATTGTTCCACGTAACCTACAAAGAGGCAGGCATAGCTTGGGCACATGTGGGTACCCATGGCCATGCCCTTTGTAGGAAGTGGGAGGAATTGAAAGAGAAGTTGTTGAGGGTGAGGATGAGTTCGGCTAAGCGGATGAGGGTGCCAGTGGATGGGGACTGGTCGGGCCTGCGGGACAGGAAGAAGTGGAGCGTCTTTAGGCCATCTATATGGGGAATGCAGGTGTAGAGGGACTGGATGTCCATGGTAAAGATGAGGTGTTGGGGACCGGGGAATTGGAAGTTCTGGAGGAGGTGGAGGGCGTGGGTGGTGTCATGGACATAGGTAGGGAGTTCCTGGACCAAGGGGGAGAAAATGGAGTTGAGATAGGTGGAGATAAGTTCAGTGGGGCAGGAGCAGGCGGAGACAATGGGTCGACCAGGGCAGTCAGGTTTGTGGATTTTGGGAAGGAGATAGAAGCGGGCGGTGCGGGGTTGGGGAACGATGAGGTTGGAGGCTGTGGGTGGGAGGTCACTTGGGGTGATGAGGTTGTGGATGGTTTGGGAGATGATGGCTTGGTGGGTCGGGGGTGGGGTCATGATCAAGGGAGCGATGTGAGGAGGTGTCGGAGAGTTGGTGCCTGGCCTCGGTGATGTAGAGGTCAGTATGCCATACTACAACTGCACCTCCCTTGTCCGCCTGTTTTATGGTGAGGTTGGGATTGGAGCGGAGGGAGCGGAGGGCTGCACATTCTGCGGGGGAGAGGTTGGAGTGGGTGAGAGGGGTGGAGAGGTTGAGGCGATTGATGTCTTGATGGCAGTTGGAGATGAAGAGGTCGAGGGAGGGTAGGAGGCCTTGGGGTGGTGTCCAAGAGGAGGCGGTGTGTTGGAGGCGGGAGAAGGGGTCAGTAGAGGAAGGGTTAGGCTCACGGTTAAAGAAGTAAGTGCGGAGGCAGAGGCAGCGGAAAAACTGTTCAACGTCCAAGCGTGACCGGTATTCGTTGATGTGTGGGTGGAGGGGGACAAAGGTGAGCCCTTTACAGAGGACTGACTGTTCGCCCTCAGTAACTGTTCTCCATGGACAGAAGGTTGGCTTCCACGATGGTCTGGGCTGCGCACGCCACCTTCTGTAGTTTCTTACGGTCCTGGGCAAAGCAGTTGCCATACCAGGCTGTTATGTACCTGGACAGTATGCTTTCAATGGTGCATCTGTAGAAGTTGGTGAGGGTCCTTATGGACACGCCAAATTTCCTGAGCTGCCTGAGGAAGAAGAGGCATTGTTGTGCCTTCTTGACTGTGCATCTAGCACCACTGCCATGATAGGTTGTCAATTATCTCTAGTCAAAGATCAAGGTTCCTGAATATTTGCACTTTTATTTTCCACTTTTCTTTTTGAAATGCTCATTTCTCTTCATTTGCACTTGAACAAACCAATCTAATAGTTGGTAAAGCTCATTTATTCAAAGTTTCATCACTTATCCATTGGTTTCGTGAATATGTAACTCAGCCAGCTTTCTGAAACATTGAGGTATGTCTGGAGCAAATAAGTGGATTAATACCTATCCTGGGAAATAAGGACTGTTAACTCCAGTTTAATTAATGTAACTTATGTTAGCTAATGCCAAAGATCATGCTCGTCCCTGAAGTATATAACAATTCTAAATGTTATAAAATCTATGCTAGCCTCTAATTCTTCTATGCTTCATGTATCTCTTTCGTATTATTACTGCTTTGGATTGATATAAGACAACAGCACTGAGTTATAAGCGAAGATATGCAGTCTCATGATTAAACAATCCCACAACTAACGGATCTAAGCTCTGCAGTCCTGCCACGTCCAGTCATGAATAGTGGTCGACAATTAAACAACTGTCTGGAGGAGTAGGGTCCACAAATATCCCCATCTTCAATGATAGAAAAGCCCAATACAGCAGCACAAAGGACAAGGCTGAAGCATTCACAACAGCTTTAAGCCAAAAGTGCCAAGTGGATGATCCATCTTGGCCTCTTCCAGTGGTCCCCAGCAACACAGGTTCCAGTCTTTAGTCAATTCAATTCACTCCTATGATATCAAGAAACAGTTGAAGGCAATGGGTATTGCAAAGGCTATGGAACCTGACAATATTCCAGCAATAGTACTGAAGACTTGTGCTCCAGATGCCGCTCCCTTAGCCAAGCCCCTTCAGTACAGTCACAACACTGGCATTTACCTTGCAATGTGCAGAAGACACTGAAAGTCTGCAGAGGGATATAGATAGTCTAAGTGAGTGGGCAAAGGTCTGGCAGATGGAGTACAATGTTGATAAGTGTGAGGTCATCCATTTTGGTAGGAATAACAGCAAAATGGACTATGTTTTAAATGGTAAAAAATTGCAGCATGCTGCTGTGCAGAGGGACTTGGGTGTCCTTGTGCATGAATCGCTAAAAGTAGGATTGCAGGTGCAGCAGGTGATTAAAAAGGCAAATGGAATTTTGTCTGCCATTGCTCGAGGGATGGAGTTTAAAAACAGGGAGGCTATGCTGCAGCTGTATAGGGTCCTGGTGAGGCCACACCTGGAGTACCGTGTGCAGTTTTGGTCTCCTTACTTGAGAAGTATTATTAGCACTGGAGGGGATGCAGAGGAGATTCACTCAGTTGATTCCAGAGTTGAGAGGGTTGGATTATGAGGAGAGACTGAGTAGACTGGGCTTATACTCATTGGAATTCAGAAGAATGAGGGGAGATCTTATAGAAACATATAAGATTATGAAGGGAATAGATAAGGTGGAGGCAGGGAGGTTGTTTCCGCTAGCAGGTGAAACTAGGACTAGAGGGCATCGCCTCAAAATAAAGGGAAGCAGATGTAGGACTGAGGTCAGGAGGAACTTCTTCACCCAAAGGGTTGTGAATCTGTGGAATTCCCTGCCCAGTGAAGTGGTTGAAGCTACCTCGCTGAATGTTTTTAAGGCAAGGCTAGATAAATTTTTGAACAGTAAAGGAATTAAGGGTTATGGTGTGCGGGCAGGTAAGTGGAGCTGAGTCTCAAAGATCAGCCATGATCTTATTAAATGGCGGGGCAGGCTCGAGGGGCCGGATGGCCTACTTCTGCTCCTAGTTCTTATGTTCTTATGAACCTGACAATGTGGAAAATTGCCCAATACACAAAAAGTAGGACAAATCTAACATGTCCAATTACCACCCCATTAATCTATTCAAATGATGGAAAGTGTCATCAACAGCTTTATCAAGCAGCACCTGCTCAGCAATAACCTGCTCACTGATGCCTACTCTGGGTTCTGCCAGGGCCACTCAGCTCCTGACCTCATTACCATCATGATTCAAACATGGACAAGAGAGTTGAATTCCAGAGGTGAGGCGAGTGTGACAGCCCTTGACATCAAGGCTGTGTTTGATCAAGTGCAGTATCAAGGAACTCTAGCAAAACTTGAATCAACGAGCATCAGGGAGCAAACTCTCCACTCATTGGGGTCATACCTGGCACAGAGGAAGAGGATTGTGGTTGTTGGAGGTCAATTATCTCAGTTCCAGGATATCTCTGCAGGAATTACTTTGGGTAAGGTCCTATGCCCATCCATCTTCAGCTGCTTCATCAATGTTCACTGACAATTGGCGCTGGACATTAAGGAGCCACAACTCCTTAGATACCGAAGCAGTTCATGTTCAAATGGAACAAGGTCTGGTCAATTTCGAGACTTGGGCTGACAAATGGGAGGCAATGACCATCTCTAATAACCGACAATATGACCACTGCCCTTGACAACCCATGATGCTACCATCACTGAACACCCCTACCATCAGCATCTTGCAGTTGCCATTCACCAGGAAGTCAAATGGATTCACCATATAAATGCATTGGCTACAAAAGCAGTTCAGAGGCTAGGAATACTGTGGTGAGTAACTCACCTCCTGACACCTGAAAGGCTATCAACCATCTACAAGGCACAAGTCAGGAGTGTGATGGAATACCTCCCACTTGCCTGGATGGGTGCAGCTCTAACAACACTCAAGAAGCTTGATACCATCCAGGACAAGGCAATCAGCTTGATTGGCTCCACATCCACAAGCACCCACTCCATCCACCACCAATGTTAAGCAGCAGCAGTGTGTACGATCTCCAAGTTGCATTGCTGAAATTCACCAAAGATCCTTAGACAGCAAGTTCCAAACCCACAACCACTTCTACCTAGAAAGAACAACAGATATGTGGGAACACCACCAGCTGCAAGCTCCCCTTCCTGACTTTGAAATATATTGCCATTCCTTCACTATCACTGGGTCAAAATCCTGAAATTCCCTCCCTGAAGGCATCGTGGATCTACTTACACACATGGACTGCAGCAGTTCAAGAAGGCAGCCCATCAGCATCATCAAGGGCAACTAGAGGTGGGCAATAAATGCAGGCCAGCCAGCAACACCCATGTCCCACAAGTGACTTGAAAAAAAACCCATGTTTAAGCCACCCACTTATTTTATTGTGAAGTTTAAAATGATGGCTTCGTGTCACTTGTCAATGTAAAGTCTGACGAGAACAAATTTATTTCTCAAAGGAGATCTTACACTACTTGAAAACAAAACCAAAAGAACTGTGGATGCTGTAAATCAGGAACAAAAAAAAAGTTGCTGAAAAAGCTCAGCAGGTCTGGCAGCATCTGTGGAGGAGAAAACAGAGTTAACGTTTTGGGTCTGGTGACCCTTCCTCAGAAGGGTCTTGCTTCTTGCTTCTTCACTACTTGCTTGAGTTGGATATACTGCATGTTTTATTTTGATGGGCCAGTTATGTAATCTTGAGGAAGTTTTCTACTCTATTTAGAAGGTCGGTTTATGATTTGACCAGGTACTCTAACAAAACTGTTATGTTGAACAATAGACTGGAAAATTATTAATTTTTTATTACCAATTTCCAGGTACATTTGATGTTGCTGTGTCGAAGACCACATTGGTAGGAATCCACAAACAAAGTATTGTCCTTGGATGCTGTTTTACTATTGATAGTGGTTTGCCATTGGACCATATAATCATCACCTGGCAACGTGCCAAGGGCAATGACGTGGTGCACAGTTATTATTATGGCAAAGACCAACTCAGTCTACAGAGTGAGCAGTATTCGGGCAGAACAAGTCTATTTCCAGAGGAATTCAAACATGGCAATGCTTCATTGAAGCTAACAGGAGTGAGAGCTGAGGATGCTGGACAGTATGTGTGTTTTGTCAGCAATATACTAGGAAGTGCCAAAGGGACAATTTCATTGAAGTTTGCAGGTAAATAGGTTTTATTTGTTCCTAAATATGTTTTGTAACAAAATAATTTCCTCTGTGATAATTCATGTTTAATATGTTTAAAATTCATGAGGAGAACAGTCGGGTTGCAATTAACTGAACAAATTAAAATGGACATAACAGATTGTTATAAGCCAAACATAATGTAGTTAATGTTGAAAATTAAAACCCAGACATAAACGGGAAGTTTGTTTGATGATTACAAAAGGTTGATCAAGACTGTAGGCATATTTTTGTGACCGAATGTGAATCCTTCGTTGAGGGAGGATACTGGACTGCAAATAGCTTGGCAACAGTTTCTTTTCTTTCCAGAATGTCTATTTACTCATGAATTCTACCCTGGTCATCCATAGCTTTTTCATAAACAAATATGTGGACATATGTCTTTTGTTTGATTCACGTGTCAAATCCTTTCCCGTTTTGAAGGCTCCTAAGCTGCCTATATTTTACTTAACCTGCCCTGCTCAAACTGCTATGGTGGCAGTATGAGTTTTATCAAGTGGTCTTGCTTTCTGCCTCAAGTGCCAGTCTTTGACCAGTATAACCACATTCTGAGCTTCTCACCACAGTATCCTCTTACCTTTTCTAACTCAGCAATTTCAATTTCCAGCTTCACTCACCTGACCCTCTCTTGTTTGATTCTATAGCCACCTGTACAGTATAACAACTTCTCATTACATACATGATCCCAACATGCCACTCCATTTATCTTATTATCTCACGTGGCTCTCTATTCCCACCATTTCAAACACACACAGGATCAGCTTCAACCATTTCTTTGTATTCCACAACCCTCACATCTAATCACACCCTTCCAAAGTACTTCATTTGGCCTTAGCTTTACTTCACTGGCCTCATTTAAGAAACTACTCAAATCTATCAATAAGGGTAGAGTGACTGCACACCAGGACAAATGTGAGCTGATCTTATAATCGGAATAGTTATGTTGAAGATTTTTTTGAGGATGCCACTAACAAGAGATAAATTGTTGTTGTACTGTTTATATATTTGTCAAGGTTCAATACGAAAGTTTACTAATAAAGAGGTGAGTGCAAAGAATTCAGGTAACATTTTGACTTGGCTTGGAAATTTGTTGGGTAGTCACAGTCAAAGAATGAGGCAAATGGAGTGGACTCTGTAGAACTGTATTACTACTTATAACTTATAGTTGTGTGAAGAGAGAGGGCTTATCTTTGTTATGTGGCTGATTTTTTTTGTCTGGTTGTGTTTTTAGCTTATGCGTTAAATAATTTGTGAAGCATCTGCATGGCATTAATGTCAACAAAAGCAACTTTCTGTTTCTTCTGAATAACGCAAGCAATTCATCTTTGTAATCCACAGCTTACTACAGGGATCCACAACTGCTCATCAAACTTGAACCATCCAGTTCAACTTTCATTCTAGAATCTCAAGGTTATCCTGAGCCATCTGTTTTCTGGTATTGTGCAGAAGATAAAAATATGTTCCTTCAGCCTGAAATTTCATTTGTTAAAAGTGAAGACGGTCTTTACTCATTCCAAAGTATTCTTAAAGTTGATAACGCAAAGTTGAACTGTAGCCATGTGGTTGAAATTCAGAACTCCCCTGTTAACCAGACTGTTACCAGGAAATTCAACCTCCTCTTACTCCGTAAGTTATTAATTAAGTCAATTATTAGTTCATGTACTTAAGTTAAGTCTGCAGGAATTGTGCTTTAGACATAATCAGTTTCAAAGATTTTACTTATCTGCAGAAATGCACATAAGGTTCAACTTTCCCATCCAGAGCAATGGCTTATACATTAGGAGCACAAATCATAAGAAACCACAGCTCTTTCACCACAACTCCCTATCCCTAAATTTAAATGGATGGAAAATCGCATTAACTGTGACATATATTTTGTGTTATATTTTTCTGAATAGAAAAATGCAGCTGTGGTTTCCTGATCTGTATTTCCCATGGCTGAGACTATGCAAAAAAAGAGCATTGTAACATTTACCTCTGAATGCAAAATGAATCATTGTGAAATATTCACAGAAGCTGCATAACATAATGCCTCAAGTCCAAGTGTATAATTTTCAAAATGGATTCTCCTAATTTCCCATCTTGACTTCAGCAGAAATCCAAAAGTAAATGAACATACATTGGGGATGAGGAAACTCCAGTGCATATATTTTGTAGAAGTGAATTAATTTGATGGATAAATATTTAATATTAATGTTTTTCACTTTCAGAACAAGATAGTCAGCAACAAAACCCCAACAAAAACACGTGGATTGCTCTCAGCTCCTGTTCAATAATGATATTTGTAGCAATTATTGTTCTGGTATTGCTAATCTGTAAAAGGAAACATTCTCAAGAACAGAAAACTGAAGAAAAAAGAAAGTGTGCATTTATATGAGTGATCCCATGAATGGAACAGTTAACTTTTGTTCATTATCATTGATAGGCAAGGGCAGTATCTTATTTTCTACTGTTAGAAAGCAGAAGTTCAAGAAGAAAGCCCATCCTGTGTGGTGAAGGTACTTCCACAGTGCTGTTAGCAAGGGAGTTACTGGGTGTTGAGCCAGCAACAATAAAGAAACAGTGCTATATGTTGTAATTAACGTTGGAAGCGAACTTGGAGGTAAAGCTCTTCCATTGCAGCTACTTGTTCATCCAGGTGTTGAAGACACAGCTGAAGAAGCAGCGTTTCTCCTATAGATTCTACCTATTGTAACCACAGTGCATCTTTAATGCACTACACGTAATGCTAGGACTAAGTTTTGATCACTAAAAAATACACTGTTTCTAAACCCACAAGGTCTGTGCTCATTCTATGAATGACTACAGTTTATATCTCTGGAGTTATGTAGAAGTTGTTCTCTGCTTTCCCATCCCATGTCCTTCTAAATCATGGATTAAAATACAATAATGTTTTGAAGCTCATGAGCAGCTAGCAGTGAGAATATGATGCATAAATAGATAGCTCTGGTTAGCTTAACTTTCAGCTGCAGCTTTTCAATGACTGAGGTTATTTCAAATTTGATCATTTCCGGCTTACATAGTGAAGCTCATAATACAGATATATTAATCATAAAACAAACAGCCAGAATCTTCCAATTACACAAACAGAAAACAGAGATGGACAGGCAAAGACAAATGAAGTCCTGTAAGGGGTTCGATGTACATTGTTGCCAGCAGAAAAAGTTGTTTTCCACCCTAAAGTTGAAGGAGAAAGATTGAGCTCCAGAAAATAACATGATGCTTAATTAAATAGGCATCGAGTACAAATGTCAAAAGCTGTGGCCCCAGAAGTTCACCATCTGTGATCCAGGAGTGGTGCAGATATCAGGGTCACTGGTGCCTTCTGTGTGGTCCTGCCAGTGTTTGTCAAGTCACCAAGAAGTTATCTAGTTTGCCTGTGCTGGAGAGTACCAGTGCTGCTATCGATGCATTTTCAGTGCAGCTACAATATCTGCCATAGCAAGTGAGTAACCAAGGCCCTCTCTACTGGCCTGTCAGACCTTAGTCATAACTCTTGCAGCTGTTCTACTCCACAAAGCCATGCAGTGAAGGATAGAACTGGAGCTAATGTTTACAAATTTTTGTAATTTTTTTAAGGAGATGCACATTTCGAACATATCCCTAATTATGCTACCACACCAACTATTTATAGGTGGACAAGTGAAGTCCCAGTTATGGCCCACCCGCTTTGTACAATTAAACACAATTAATATACAATTAACATTGGCCTCCTTATTTGGGGATGATCAAGTAAGTTTTAAAAAAAATTAGTCCAACTTTTGGGGATCCTCTGGGGGTGATCCACTTAAGCCTATTTAGGGGCAAGTATTATTCACCTCATCTGGCATCTCAACCCAGTGTTGGAAACCAAAAACAGTAGTGCAGCTGGAAACCTTGTTTTTGGGAGACCCTGGTCCTAGTGTAGCCTTATTAACATTTGCTGTAAAAGGAGAAGATAGCAGAATCTTTCTACTACTTAAAACAGGGTCTCAGTCATGTTCTCTCTGGTTCTGTCACATTCCTGCCAAATTGAAGTTGAGCAGAACCTATGTGGACTTTTAGGGCCAAGAGTTTATGCAATATGCCTTTACTTGTTTTGTATTCAATATTTAATAATTTCTTCACAATAAATACCTGATTCTAATCTAATGCATCCTGTAAGTTTGGTTCACGGTCAGATTGATCACCTGATGTACATGCCCACAATTTTATATTCAAATCACTTCATTGGAGCCAAATATCAGACAGGACGTAAACCCCAAATGAAGCCCATTTCGGGTGGGACACAGACATTTGGACACTACTGTAATCTGATGCGTTTCCATCTGGCAGTTTGTGAATGTGATCCTTCAAAAAGAGGGCTTAAATTCAATTCTTAACAGAAATAATAAGCACTGCCTGAAAAAGAGATAACTGGATTATTTCATGTTTAGTCTGGATGCATTGTTTTCATCAGTTCAATTTAAAATATTTTATATTTTTAACAAAGTATGTGGAATTTTGTAAGTTTCAAGAGAATGGAGTATTTTTATTCAAACAAAATTCTCTAAATAATTGTTGTCTTCCATTTACAATCAGGCTACAGTATGGTCTTTTCTTTTGTCAGGGACATATTTGCTCGTGTTAAAGCTTAACTCACTAATCTTTATATTAAATTTACATTATCCAGCAGATTTAAATACATTCGAACAAGATCATTGGAAAACATCTAAGAATTCTTCAAACATTTTAACAACTCTTGTTATCGTCAAAGTGAGGAAGTAGCAATCAAATGAGTGGAAAAACCTTTCAATTCTATATCCAGCAGAGGTTCTGGCTACTCACAGATCAGGTATAGTGCTGCCAGATGCAGACATTGACTGCAGTTATGACCACTTAATGTTTTGAATACTCCTTTTTCCCCATTATCCATCAATGCAAATTTTATTTCTGCACATTGAAAATGCTGTATCTTCTGGAACTCAATGGTAACAACAATAAGCAAACACATCCTTGTTGATTCTGCAAAAGTCCTACCGAAATCTGGAAGCTTATGCCAAATAGGAAAGCCACCTCAAAGTCTTGCCAAGCAACAGCTTCACATAGTCATATGCACAGCATCAAACCTTACAAACAATGTGTCAGACACAACTATCACCATCCCTGGATAAATACAGTTCTACCAGTAGAACAGTGGTTAACAGTTGGGACAGAATTGATCCAGAAGGCCTCAACATGACTACAGACTCCATGAAGTCTCCTGTGACATCAGGTCAGACTTGGGCAAGGGAACCTCCTGCTGATTACAACCTAGTGCTCCGCCCTTCAACTAATGAATCAATGCTCCCCCATGCTGAGCATCACTTGGTGAAAGCATTAAAAGTGGCAAGGTCACAGACAACATTCCCTCTAAGCTGCACATATGTGTGCATGGTCAGCTGCTCTGAATTCTGCATAGAGCAATCAGTGTGACAACACCAAACACAGCAGTGACTTCCAGTTCTGGAAGTCACGCCACATATGGACCTTGGCGGTCCACACTGAAGAAACGAAAAATTAGGGAATGCTGGCCATAGAACGTACTTTGGTTGGGGAACTTCGATGTCCTCACAAAGAGTAGTTTAATAACACTACTACTTATCAAGCTGGTCAAGTCCTAAAAGACACAACTGCCAGATTGGGTTTACAGCAGATGGTAAAGAGAATCCACAAGAAAGAGTCACCTAATCTTCTCCTTACCACTGTATATGCCACAGACCATGAGTATGTCAGTAAGAATGACCACCACACAGTCCTTGTGGAGACAAAAACAACATATTGTCCGGGAGAAAATCTCAAGAGGAGCCCTGTTTGGAGTATCATAGGCTGTGTGTATCTGCACATACACTTTCCTGAGGGCTGGTTGCTCCTTATCTCCACGTACTTTAACTCCTTCTGCAGCCCTTAACTTAAATCTGTACATAGTAAATATCAAATGCAGCTCTCCAGTTTAGTGTCAAAGACCTCTTTACATGCTTGTTTTAGAGTATGTTTGCTCTCTGAATGGTGTCAGGAGGACAATGACAATGACAATGACATAATGGTATTAGCGCTGGACTAGCAATTCAGAGATTCAGGTAATGTTCTGGGTACATAGGATGAAATCCCATCACTGCAGATAATTGAATTGAAATTCTAATATAGCTGGAATTAAAGTTCTAATAACAACTGTGAAATCATTGTTGTGAACATGCATCAGGCTCACTAATGCCAGTTAGAGAAGGAAATCTGACATGCTTATCTAGCCTAGGGTACACTTGACTCCAGACCCACAGCAATGTGGTTAACTCTTAAATGGCTTCTAAAATGGCTCTTCGAGACCTTAATTGCATCAACCACTAAAACATCGCAAAAATAAAAGAATGGATGGATGAATAACCAGATATTGACTTAGAGTCATACAGCACAGAAACAGACCCCTCAGTCCAACTCATCTGCACTGATCAGACATCCCAATCCGACCTAGTCCCATTTGCCAGCATTTCACATATATCCCTCTAAACCCTTCCTATTCATACACCCATCCATATGCCATTTAAATGTATTTGTACCCACCTCCACCACTTTCTCTGGTAGCTCATTCCATACACGACCACCCTCTGTACAAAAAATTACCCTTCAGGTCCTTTTTAAATCTTTCCCCACTCACGTTAAACCTAGTTTTGGACTCCCCCACCTGACGAGAAAGATCTTGGCTATCCATCCCCTTCATGATTTTATGAACCTCTATAAAGGTGACCATTCAGCCAATGACACTCCAGGGGAGAAAAGCCCCAGCGTACTCAATCTCTCCCTATAGCTCAAACCATCCATCCCTGACTAAATCCTTGTAAATCTTTTCTGAACCCTTTCAAGTTTCACAGCATTTTTCCTGTAGTAGGAAGACCAGAATTGAACGCAGTATTTTAAAAGTTGCCATTATTTAAGCTGCACCATGAGATCCCAACTCCCATACTCAATGCACTGAGCAGTGAAGGCAAGGGTCCTGAATGCCTTCTTCACTACCATGTCAACCAGCGACTCCATTTTCAAGGAACTATGCACCTGCACCCCTCGGTCTCTTTGTTCAGCAACACTCCTCAGGGCCCTAACATTAACTGTTTAAGCCCTGCCCTGGTTTGCCCTATCAAAACACAGTGCCTCACATTTTTCTAATTTAAACTCCATTTGTTATTTATTGGCCCATCTGATTAAGTTCCCGTCGTACTCTGAGATAATCTTCTTCATTGACCATTACAACACCTATTTTGGTGTCATTGGTAAACTTACTAACCATGCGTCCTAAATTCACATCCAAATCGTTTCTATAAATGACAAAAAGCAATGGACCCAGCACTGATCGTTACGGCACACTGCTGGTCACAGGCCTCCAGCCCAAAAACGTACCCTCTACCACCTTCCTCTGTCTCCTACCTTCCAGCCAATTTTGTATCCAATTGGCTAGCTCCTCTGGATCCCATGTGATCTAACCTTGCTAACCAGTCTACCATGCAGAACCTTATCAAACGCTCTGCTGAAGTACACGTAGACAACGTTTACCGCTCTGCCTTCAATCATCTTTGTCACCTCTTCAACAAACTCAGTCAAGTTAATGAGACATAATTTCCCACGCATAAAACTATGTTGACTATCCCTAATCAGTCCTTGCCTTTCCAACTGCATGTAAATACTGTCCTTCAGGATCCAAAAACTTACCACCACTGACGTAAGGCTCACTATCTATAGTTCCCTGGCTTTTCCTTACAGACTTTCTTAAATAATGGCACCACAATAGCCAATCTCCAGTCTTCTGGCACCTAACCTGTGGCTATCTTAGCAAGTGGCCCAGCAATGTCTTCCCTAGCTTCCCAGAGAGTTCTGCGAAATAGCTGATTAGGTCTGGGGATTTATCTACCTTTATATGTTTTATATGTTTTAAGACCTCCAGCACCTCCTTCTCCTGTAAAAGAACTCCTTTCAAGACATCACTATTTATTTCACAATGTACCCTGGCTTCCATGTACTTCTCCACAGGAAACACTGACTCGAAATATTTGTTCCACACATAGATGGCCACATTGTTCTTTAAAGGGGCCCTGTTCTGTCCCTAGTCACTCTTTTGCTTTTAATGTACTTACAGATGTACATTTCTTGTGCTTAAGCACATTAAGAACACACCCGGCTCTGTTGATCCTGAAAAGGCTTCCTTACCAACATATGGAGGCTACAGCCAAAATTAGGAAAGCTCTCTCTCAGACTAGTTGAGTAACCGAATGACATTGTCATATTCATTGAATCATGTCTTGCACACAATGTCCCAGAAAAGATCATCACCATGGTGATGGTGGCACAGTGGTACACAGTCAAGAAGGAATTGCCCTGGGAGTCCTCAACAGTGACTCCAGACACCATGAAGTTCCATCAGTCAAACATCAATTGATCAAAAGGTCTGACGTTGGGATGTTTGTTGATGATTGCACAATGTTTAGGTTGGGATTATACTCATTGGAATTCAGAAGAATGAGGGGAGATCTTACAGAAACATATATGATTATGAAGGGAACAGATAAGGTGAAGGCAGGGAGGTTGTTTCCACTAGCAGGTGAAACTAGAACTAGGGGGCATAGTCTCAAAATAAAGGGAAGCAGATATAGGACTGAGGTCAGGAGGAACTTCTTCACCCAAAGGTTTATGAATCTGTGGAATTCCCTGCCCAGTGGAGCGGTTGAAGCTACCTTGCTGAATGTTTTTAAGGCAAGGCTAGATAAATTTTTGAACAGTAAAGGAATTAAGGGTTATGGTGAGTGGGCGGGTAAGTGGAGCGGAGTCTCAAAAAGATTAGCCATAATCTTATTAAATGGTGGGGCAGGCTCGAGGGGCCGGATGGCCTACTCCTGCTCCTAGTTCTTATGTTCAGCATCATTCACAATTTCTCAGATAATGAATAAATCCACATCTAAATGTAGTATGATCTGGACAATATCCAGGTTTTGTGCTGACAATGGGATAGTAACTTGCATGCCATACAAGTGCCAGGCAATGACCATCTCCAACAAGTGAAATCCTAACTATCACTCTAACTTCCAACAACACTACAATCACCAAATCTCCCATTATTAACATTGAACTAGACTGGCCATATAAATACTGTGGCTGCAAGACCAGGTCTGAGGTTAGGAATTTTGCAGCAATTAACTTGCCTCCTGAATTTCCAAAGCCTGTCTACCATCTGCAACATCAGAATCAAAGCAACTCCTCAGTAATGTGACAGTTCAGCAGTCACAGTATACACAAATAGCATGTAAACAGCATTGTCAAAACACTGGGACATGGAGGCCTCAGTCAAAGACAGCAATGGAATGCCTCTACTTGGACCTTGCATATCATTGATTTGATTGGATATGCT